CATTAGCACCTCTAGTAATATATTTACTGAGAAAAATTGTGATGTGTTCAATACTTATTTTACCCGCTGTATATATCTATCTTTGGTGCAGAGGAGGATTCTGGGTCAGAACCAGACGGTGATGATCTTAATCTCAATGTTTAGGGTTAGGGCTGGAAAACATATGGGTCTGGGACAAATGTTCTCCTATATTTGGTGCAGATAACCTTTTTTCTGTCAGGGTATGCTATAAACTCCTCTTCACACTGCAGTGGAGAGGCGGCTGAGTGGCTGTAAAATCTCAGACTGCAGCTCACTGACCCACTTCTGGAGGCTTTCTGTTTTTGTCTCGTGTCTTCCTGACAAATGCTTTCAGAAAGGGGTTGATACATCTGAGCTTCTTTAACAGAAGTCTTTTTCTGGCAGCAGCTTGTGTAAGATAAAAGCTGTGCAGCGTATGCAAACATGAATGTTAGAGCTCCGTTTAACCCGTCTTAGAAGAGATGTAACCGGTAACTGCAGTGATACTAAATCAGCACGGGCACATTACGGTTGTTTTGTAAGCTCAGTTGTCCTTTAGCATTACATGAAATCAGCACACACCTGCAGGCCAGTTCCTCACATGCCCTCCTTGTGATCTCGTCGGAAGCGATCCATGTGGCCTCGATACGCGCAAGACGTCAAATCACCAATAAATGCCACAAAAAGGGGGTCAAAGTATTTGTCCCGTCAGGTGATGGACGTATCAGCACACAGAAATGGAATCAACTTCAAATATAACTATAAAAATGATCTGATTAAATGGGAACGTGTGGATTTCAAACAAACAGTGGAAATTAGCCTAAAGTTATGAAGAGGACCAGTTCTTAGAGCTCCGCACTAGAAGGAGGTTGAGGTGGTTTCAGACATGTCAACACTGGGGAAGACCCAGAACTTGTTGGGAGAGATTATAGCTGACCTGAGGACATCTTAAAGACCCTCTGAATCAGCTGCAGGTCTGTTGACAATAGGTATCTCACTGAGTGTGTATATATGTCTGTGTGTATATATCTACAGAATGTATGAATGTAGGCATGTACAGTATGTATATCTTTACATATGTATGGGTATGTGTATATGTTTATATATGCCCTCCATGTATTTATCCATTTATTTTCAGATGAGCGGACAGATGTTGGGTGTGTGGTCCTGTGTTTTCTTGGTGTATATTTAATATACTTCTAATCTCTATTTCAATCTTTCTATTTACTTTTGTCTTTGTTTGTTGCCCGTTTTCTATTTTCTCTTTATTTAAAAAAACACTGATGATGAAGAAATTAAGAAACTAATATTAAGTTCTTTTTTCTACTGAAGTGATAAAAAAAGACATTAGGTGTCTCAGCTGTATTTACAAGCTCAGTGTCATTTTTTGGTGCCTTGCAGAAATGCACTGCTTTCCAATTTATTATTCAAATTGTGTTTGTGTCATAAAGATTGAATTTTTTGTTCAACTCTATACCACAATCAATTATCTATGTTACCTTTTTAATTTTTATGAAATTGCTGTATGTATCAAAAATAAATTTGACTTTGCATCTAAACGCCTTAAAATTGGCCTCTGTCTCTATAAGAACCGCCCACCGTTTTTGACACTCTCACTACAGCACATCTTCACACCAGTGCTGCGGGAGAGGGGTGCTCTGTGGGGCGGGATCTCGGATGCAGACTCAGTTCCAGGGAGGAGCTTTGCATAAAAAGGCGGAGCTTTGTAACAGGCATCACATGGCTACCACAGGAGATTAAAGGATTTCTCAAACATGCATGAATGAGTCAAAGCAACACTCTGGGTATGTTTTTGATGAGGGAATGACTCTATAACATAATAAAAAAACTCAAAGTTGATTTGAGAGAGGCCCGACAGAAATAGTTTGGGAACCACTGCTCTAACAGTTGATGGCTTTAAAATTATGCTGAAAATATCATTTGTGTAATAATTTGGAACGGTTTAATTTAATGCCATCATTTTCAGCTTTTGAGAAAACTTTATGTAGACAGTTGATTCTGTGTAAAAACCTTGACACCTTTTTATTAAGTTTACAAAACAATCCTGGCTCAGGTCAAACGTTGAGTACAACGTTAAGACGGAAACGTATTTCTCTGAACACCTGGAAGCAGGATGACACACAGACCTAATTTCTCTGCTGTAGATTATTTGGGTCAGGCTCCCAGTCGGCCTTCACAGAAAGCCTTGGGATTTTATGTTTTCTGAAGAAACGGCTGTAAGAGATGCAACTCTTGAAATAGATCAAACATGTTCTGGTCTGCTCATTGTATGCGACATGTTTCCTGTGGTTCATAATGTACCTCTAAAGATTAATTCCTGTTCACAACAAAAAGACTYATTTTCTTGTAGAATATTGAACTATCACATTCTCTTTCCTATAGGTAGTGCAAAGTCCTGCAACATTGTATTTTATTTGGGGGGTTTATGAAATAAACTTAAGGTCAAAAACACTTATTTGTTTCCGTGTCCTTTAGCGAGTTGCAGGTTTGTGGTTTTTAGGCTGTTCGCTGCTCGTTCAGACGTGGATTCTGCTCAAGCCATATAGATCTTAAAGTCACATGAAACATAAATCTCCTCTTTTCTTTGCTCTCTGGATAAAGCCACGAGATCTACAGGCACGTGAAGGCTTTTCATTCAGCAGGGGCGCCCTCAGTGACGTTCACACGGACACCGACTGTCCGTAGAGCAGTTTAGTTGTCGGGAAATGGTAAGTTGTTCAGAGGCAGTTCTCTGAATTAAACACTAATTTCCTAGTGGCGGCAGTGGGTCAGAGAAATGGGGAAAAGATTGTGAGAGCTAGTTCACGTCAGGAGCTGATGATACAATAAGAGAATATGGAAAAAATGAACCTATAGTGAATAAATGCATTTAAAAAGATTCATTATCATTGTGCTGCAAAGATTGGTTGTGTTAAGTTTAAAGCAGAGTCTCATACCAAGAAAAGATCAGATTTAAATCCTGGGGTCTTTTCAGTTTAGACTTTATATAAATATATTTATATACATAGATTTGGCATAAATCACTTATTGTACTTATGCTAAAAGAGAATAACTACAAATTAAAGCAATAGTTTAACATTTTATCTCACTTGTTTGTCAACAGAGAGAAGAGGAAACATGAAATTACTTTACACACTTGTGTGTGTACATGTCTTCATATTGGTGAGTGGACATATTGACATATGCTTATGAGGACATTTTATCATCGTGTTTGCCTAGTCCACACTATTGGGGGGAAAAAAATGTGGGTTAGGTTAGTGTTTGGCTGTAGAAAAGAATGGAAGTCAATGCAAAATCCTCACAAGTATAGCGAGACGAGTGTGTGTGCTAAGCTGCGCATCACTTCAGACACTGATTGATATTGAGTGTTTGACATTTCTTTGAATCTGTACGTCAGCCCGGTTAGCGCAGGATGAAAAAAAAAAGAGAGAAAATGGGTCAGCGTCTGCAGTCACACTTCTGGCTTCGGTTGTCTCTCTGAAACGTGTCGACTGGTTGAGAGAGAGATTTATGTTCGGTGTAAATGCAGGACACTAACAATGGCCGTCATTATTAACCCTTACYTCTCCAAAACTCCTCGACCTACTTTAGGATTTGATCCCCTCTGCTTGCCTCATACGGCTTCATGCCTAAAACAAAAAAGATGAAAGACCTTTTTGCACAGGATTCACTCGCTGTGAACAAATCTCTACTTCTGAGTGAGAAACGAACAACACCAGATGAAACCTCACACTCTTGTGACGTGAACGCCTGTGAACTTTGGAAGAAATTTTGAGTAATTTAACAAAAAAAAGCACAAAACTTCATTAGGTGTCAGTTAATACATTCAATAATTTTATTGCTATTAATTTGAACTTTTGTAAACATTTCTTTTGGGTTAAAAGTTTAATTTATTTATTTTTCATTTATTTGGCTTTTAAAGCAACATTTATTTAAATAATTTAACGTATGAACAAAAATCAGTGATAAACGACTTAGGTTGTGTTTATACTTACATCCTGGCCTCATTATATAAAAGTAGCACTGACACAGAAAACTCAAAATCTCAGGTGCTGGTTCTGAGGCTGGAAACTCTTAATTAGTTCTGAACTATCTAGCACCATCTCAGGACCAAGTTTAAGTGGGTATAAAATGTTTTTTTCTATCACCGGCCAATCAAATCAAAGATGCATGTTCCTCCTTTTAAAAGATCATGAAACAGTAGGACCAGCCTGGACCCCTTGGCCAGCAGGGGGTGAGATTTGTGACAGGTGGTTCTGTGGTCCTGAAGGTCAGCAGCCAATAAAATCCAGTTCTAATTCCCAAAACCAAAGCAGGAAATAATTCTCCTGAACTACCCTGTAGATGTCCTTTACCAGTGTGAGGTCAGTCGTCTGGTATGGGGGAATTACAGTTCCCGTGGTAGATGTAAACAGGTCCGTCGCAGCGATAATACAACTGGAACACATCTCCATATCCGTGGTCCCTCCACCAGGTGCACAGCTGCCGGTTCCAGCCACAGGCCAGGGAGTGAAACAGCTCCGGGTGCTCCATGCCGATCATGGTGAAGAAGTCCTGGTCGCCCAGGTGGCCTCTGAAGCGATACTGGTCYGCTAGTTTGGCCACGTTGTCGGGCTTCAGCAGCTGGTTGTAGAGCGCCGACGCCCTCATGGAACTCAGGTCCAGTAACATGACGCCGCTGTTGAAGCCCGGAAGGCCGTCAGGAGGAGGTTCACCTACTCTGGTGTTTGGGTTCTCCTTACGATACTGCCAGAAGGTGTGTCTGTGGGAAGTAGAGGGTTAGATGAAGGTTAGTTGAACATCGCTGGTAAAAACTGTGGGAGRCAGCTTTAATGTCAGAATACTACAACGTAGTTTAGATCACGGCTGTTAGGACAAAACTGTACTACTGATTCTGAAGATTAGGGGTGTCCCGATAYGATATTGAWATTGGATATCGGGCCGATATCAGCCAAAAAACAAGTATCAGATTTTATTGACCTGCATAAAAATTCTCTGATAAAAGAACTCCGATATAAGCAGTCCAATCCAGCAGTCCACTGACTCTGCCCCAGCTTCTCTATGTAGCATGCAGAGCCCACGTGATCACAACATGCTGCGCTAACAAAGTAGCAAGAAGTAGGAGCGATGTTGGCAGAACTTTCTATTTTCATCAAAACAGAGTTGAAGCTAAGTGCAAAGTTGTCACGAACAAGTTTTCTGTGGGGGAACAGAACTGTGTATGTTTTAAACCGGAGAGACAACCAGGTTCTACTCTCCACCCTGGCAGCAGCTTTGCTGTTCGGCTCGGTTCTGCCTTGGTCCAAAAGTGTCTCCATGGTTCCAGTTTCAGAACCTCCTTTCTGGTCCAATCGGTGATTAAGCGAGTACAGCACGCTTATGGTTTTGACATCAGCAGAATACTGCCCATGGATTAGCTCTGGGATTGATTGACAGAAGAAAGGAGAGCACAACTTTTGTTTTGGAATATGAGCATGACATGGTGAGAGCAGTGATAAAAACTGCTCCCTGCAGGAGAGGCTAACCTCCACATGATGCGCGAACTGTAGAATTTAGAAATGCAGCAGTAAGAAAGGTAGCTATTAATTTAATTAACTGAATAATTCTTACTATTTGTTTTTTGCTCTTGTTATTAGAGTGATGTTTAATTTGTTTACACACTTGTTTTAGTGAAGATTAAGTGCAATGATCATGTTGTTTTGGGCACAGTCCGTAAAATTGGAGCTGTGGACTCTTTAACTTTGAACAGATGGACATTGGACAATAATGTGGGGTTTTGTTTTGTCCCCACCTTCAGTTTTTCCCACAATAAAGCAGCACCAGGCTGACGGATAGTAAAAAAAAAAAATAACTGGAGTGATTTTGAATTGTTATTTTACACTTTAAATGTACATTTTGCTTTTTATTATACTTTGTTTTATTAAATTGTATAATGTTCTTCAGTTTAAAATGTATGTGATCCACTGGTTACAAACAAATGGGTCAATATTTCTCGTACGTACTCTTTTTCACTGTTTGACTTCTAAGATTTCACAACACAGAATAGGTAAAAGTGTGTGATTCATACTGATATGGTATCGGGTCAATATCAGTATCATAACAGAAGTGAAAATGTTGTATCGGGACACTCCTACTGAAGATCATCACGTTTACCTGGAGTGAGCAGTTACTGTCATTCTCTACAGTTATTATAAAGGCTCTTTAGTTACTGATGCGTGTTCTGACCACCTCAGTCCATTCAGAAAACACATGGAGGCAGAAAGTGAGGACAAAAAAAATCACCTCTGTACCTGAAAGCGAGCTAGTACCATTTCTGTTACTATCAACTTCTTAAAGGTGGGCTGGAGTAGTGTTTCCAATAGGGTTGACAAAAAAAAAAAACTGAATCACGGTTAATTGTGGCAGTTAGTAGAAAATGATTATAAAAAGGATTAATAAATGRCAATTGCTCTTGCATGTTTGACTCTAAACCTGTCACCCTGTGTTCAAACATACTTACAAATCATCAGTTAAACTCATTTCTTCATTTCTAACAGTTCCGTGTTAGTTTCACGTTTACATTAGCGTGAGCTCCACTTTAGTGTGTTAGCTTTGAGTTATCATCAGCAAAATTTTTTGCATTTGCTCCACATTAGTTTTAGCTCTGCCTTAGCATTAACTCAGTGTTAGCATTAGCGCTGCGTTAGCTTTCCATTAGCAYTAGTGTTAGCTCCACTTTGGGTGTGGGCTCTGCATTAGTGTTAACATCACATTAGCGTGAGCTCCTCCTCATTAGCACCATGTTAGTGTTGGCTCCACATTCACATTAGTCCCACGTTAGTTCTTGCATTAGCATTAGCTTCACGTTAGTTGCCTCTGCGTTAGGATTAGCTTCACAGTAGTGTTAGCTCCATGTCACAATGATTTGTGTAAGTCACTAAACACAGTAATCCCCAAGGATCAAATATCAATCCGTGACAGTTTTCATCATATTCAGACTTTTATCCTGTAGATGAAACAGATGGAATAAAATAAGATGTCTGCAAAATATAAACAAACTTTAAACAACAAGGTTATGTTTACATAATTATAATAGTATTTCTCTGTTTATATCATTTTATTTTCTTCTATAAGCTGTGATGTTTTATATTTTTGATGATTTGATTTGATTTATTTATTTAACAGGAAAAGATTAAAAATCAAGCCTGACTCAGCATAATTGCTGTTTTACAGCAGGTTCCTGTTCTGCAGCACATAAAACACTCAGAATTACAGCATCWCAATCACATCATTATTATTACACCATAGACACAAAGACAAACAAGCATCTGTGAAGACTGTTCTTTTCAGTTCTATATAAATGTACTTTCTCTCCTCTTAGGGATGAAGTGGTCCAGTCTGAAAGTACAAAACGCTCCTGTCYACACACTAACAACTAGTCCTTAAATGTACTAATCCTATTGAACATGAGGATAAAGGGACTGTACCCAGGACGCTTGAAAACTCTTTACACACATCAGAGAAGTCAGAYGATGCTCAGTCCTTGCCATGCTGGAGGAAATCACTGCAGATTAAAGATTTATAGATAAATTATCTCAAATCCATAGCTGCTGCAGGGTAATATGTTTAATCTGTTTTCTTGATGCCAGTAATTTGTATAAATAAGTGTTGCATTGCGTAGTAAAGTCCTCACTTTCTGCAGTTTGATCAAAAGCAGATCGGCTGAGTCACGCTTTGATATTATTACTGACCTACATGCAGCAGCAGCTGTAGCCTGACCCCATAAACGGTCTCTTTGGTTAGGGAACTGGGGACTTGGGGCCCTTGTGGAGCATTTATCTTTTGAAGATGTTCRCTCGGCCTACGTGCCACAAGACATGTCCTGGTCAAGTTCAGAGGGGGAACATTTACACAGCCTGTYCCATAGATTTTATACTGCACGATGGCTCAGTGGTTATCAACGACGCCTCACAGCAAGAAGGTCCTGGGTTCGACCCCCGGTTCRGACCTGGGATCTTTCTGTGCGGAGTTTACATGTTCTCCTCGTGCTTGCGTGGGTTTTTTCCGGGTACTCCGGTTTCCCCCACAACACATAACATGTACAATAGGTTGCCTTCAGGCCCAGGCCGCCCTTGAAAGAGATCTGAGATCTCAATGAGACTTGCCTGGTTAAATAAAGGTAAATAAAAAAATAACGATTTTATACTGAACAAAACACCACAAAAGCCATAACGTAACCAACGACATAAAAAATCTTGTATTTGAGCTGGAGAACAACCAGCAACAATCTCTGACTCCAAGTTTCCACACTCTCAATAGAGTGATGTAGCTTTATTATTATTA